CCCCACCTCTCCCCGACCATCCCCGTTCCCCACCTCTCCCCGACCATCCGTGTCCCCCACCTCTCACCGACCATCCCCGTCCCCCATCTCCCCCGAGGGCACCGTAAGCAGTAGATTTATACCATGCCTCGGTACCCGTGATCGTTAACGCGCACAGTTATTACTACTGTTTGCAATCAAGCATGAGCTTCAGACCACTCACGCTTCCAAAAATTTCGGTTCGATCCCCAGCGGTGGCGGAAAAAAGAGAGTGGTGTCTGATAGGGTTAGTTGTTATCCCCTCGATGGCACGGTGGTTTTCCCCGATGGGTTTTCCTCCATCACACAAACACCATTTGTTCCCTTAGCGGCGTCGTAATAAAAGCTCTACAGAGCGTATGGTTGTTGTTGACAATACACATGACGTTAAATAAAGTATTTTCAACATTATTTTACTAGCGTTGCTGAAGGAATGCTTTAGGTATTAAATATGGTGTTTCTTTCGCTTGAAATAAGCATAAAAAATACAGATTCAATACTTTTTATTTGCTTTCATTGGTGTTTGAATTGTTTTCCTCTTTTTTTTCTTCTCTCAAAATCATTATAAAGTAAACCATTTCTGTTAAATAGATCCATTTTTCCTATTATCCGGACCCCCTAGCAAAGTAATATATAGACTGGACAAAACGACGAAGGCTTACACGGATATACCAATAACACAACAACAACCCTCTTCAGTACAGTATGACAGGGGAACAGAACGAATCTTCTTTGGAGCCACAGATGAAATACATGTGTACAGTATCAGATTGGACGGCTCGGATTCCATGGAGGAGGCTAATGCTGGTATGTATTAATAATATTCAACTATAGTGTCAATTGGATGGTTCGGACACCATGACAGAAGGTATAACTGGTATATCTTAATGATATTAATATTTGACTACAGTGTAAAATGGATTGTTCGGACACCATGACAGAAGGTATTACTGGTATATCTTAATGATATTGGCATATGACAACAGTGTAAAAAGGAAGGCTCGAAAACCATGACAGAAGGTATTACTGGTATATCTTAATAATATTAATATTTGACTACAGTGTAAAATGGATGGTTCGGACACCATGACAGAAGGTATTACTGGTATATCTCAATGATATTAGCATATGACTACAGTGTCCATTGACTGTTTCGGACACCATGACAGAAGGTATTACTGGTATATCTTAATGATATAAGCATATGACTACAGTGTAAAATGGATGCTTCGGACACCATGACAGAAGGTATTACTGGTATATCTTAATAATATTAATATTTGACTACAGTGTAAAATGGATGGTTCGGACACCATGACAGAAGGTATTACTGGTATATCTCAATGATATTAGCATATGACTACAGTGTCCATTGACTGTTTCGGACACCATGACAGAAGGTATTACTGGTATATCTTAATGATATAAGCATATGACTACAGTGTAAAATGGATGCTTCGGACACCATGACAGAAGGTATTACTGGTATATCTTAATAATATTAATATTTGACTACAGTGTAAAATGGATGGTTCGGACACCATGACAGAAGGTATTACTGGTATATCTCAATGATATTAGCATATGACTACAGTGTCCATTGACTGTTTCGGACACCATGACAGAAGGTATTACTGGTATATCTTAATGATATAAGCATATGACTACAGTGTAAAATGGATGCTTCGGACACCATGACAGAAGGTATTACTGGTATATCTTAATAATATTAATATTTGACTACAGTGTAAAATGGATGGTTCGGACACCATGACAGAAGGTATTACTGGTATATCTCAATGATATTAGCATATGACTACAGTGTCAATTGAGTGGCTCGGACACCATGACAGAAGGTATTACTGTTTTATCTTAATAATATGTACATTTGGATACAGTGTCAGGTGGACGAGTTGGCTTTAATAGCCTTTGCTTGTTGCCAAATTCCTTTTGTATGTGAGACCTATACAATAACATATCCTGAAATTAACTGAAATAGAAATATTTTTGTATGTAACAATATATGTCTCCTGTGTTTAATGAAGGGTCCGTGGTTCAGGAAAGAGTCATTCGAATAGGTCTGATTATATAAATACATTGTAAACATCTTTAGTGTGAAATAGAGAATTCGTGTTTCCCGAAGGAATTTTGGGAGTTATATGGTTATATAAGAGATATCGAAGAACATATACAATTGCATTGATCTTCAAAACCAACGGTAGCATAAACAAAGCTATATAGAAACACATGCAAATTTACCAGTTGAAATCAATGAAACATAAGGTGACATGCCCTATGTTTGACTTTATTTTTAAATCTGTTGATGCTAAATATGAGCAGACCTTTTGCCCGAGATAAACGCTGTTGACTAGGATTATACGGAGTATAAATGACCACAGGTGACAAAGACAACATGAGACAGACTCTTCTACGGACTGTGTATACTAAACTTTTACTGAGTATATAGGACACATGTGACCTGTACGTGCGATCATTAACACATATACAATACATGTAGTTTCATAATGTATGCAATTGAATGACGACTTAAAGGAAAATGCATTTAGAATTAGAAATATTTAAAAGGAAACGTCAAATTGAAAATGCACAATGAGGAAAGCAATCTTATCTACATACAAATAGTTGTTGGTAACAAAAATATAAGTTCAAATGGGCTGATTTTTTTTTTATTTGTGTGACTTACAATGTATATTACTGCGTCCTAAAGGAGAAGATAAGTATTGCTTAATATAAAATGTTAATGTGAATGGTAATACACATTTGTTTGGATATGTTGGAATATTATTAATTTACACTGGCGTATGTTACTGCACCTGAGAGTATGTAAGCAATTGAAATATATTCATCCCGTGCATTAAGATACAGTTATGAAAGCAAAGTCCATAATGCTGTTTTTTGCCATGGTGTGATAATTATGCTACGATTTACATTGTATACGTGTCTATTAAGAATGTTTACGCATCCACGTTTCAGGAATGTATGCGCCAGCAATAACAATAGACGACAACAGGCGGTACCTGTTTGTGTACTCTCGAGGCTCAACGTCGACTATTATGCAGATAAAACTGGCGGAGGACCCGTTGATGCGATACAGCCGGGTGATTGACAACCCCACTAACAACATTACTCACATAGCCGCTGATCCGGCGACTGGGTAACGGAATTTACCTTCATATCTTAACACGACACTTACGAAGTATATTTTATCATTTAAATGTCTTGTGTTAACATTACTAAAAATGATAATTCATATCGCGATAAAAGATCATTTTAGTATCTAAACTTGAAAAAGGAATACCATGTTTTGGATTGCTTTGTCTTGATCGTGTTAATAGTCGAATGTATATCTATCTAGATCTAACCTTTCAAACACTTTGAGGCTTCTATTTAATGTATAGTATCACTTCTTCAGTCTGTCCTCGTTATATCTAATACGATACAAAAAAACAAATATGCTTAAACAAAATATTAACAAATCGTATAAAAGTATGTACATTTTACCAAAGTACCCTATTGTTTTGTTATATACAACTTGTAATATCACCTTGGTGTGCTTATATCAGTCCTGGGGGAGTAAGTTTTGTACACAAGTTTCCATATGTTAATGCATTAAACCAGACCAGACAATGTCAAAATATACTTAAGCTTATAATTATGTATTGTATACTTGTTGCAGGACATTATTCCTTGGCTCCGACGAAGGAGTGTATGCGTGCAGCTACAACGGGACAGAAACAGTGATAGCGCTCAACAGTTCAGCGAGTAGTAACGGAATTACATTCGACGGTATTAAATATTTTTCTTTCTAGAATTATACGTTAAGATAATTTTCGAAAAGAAAAGAGGCTCATACATATGCAGTAAAAAATCTTTTGAGTTTGCTATGACCCTAAAGCGTTTCCGCAGTGACTTGTGTTGACTGTTAACTTGTAAGTGTGTCCAACTCAGTGGCTACAATTGTTCAGTAAGGATTATGATGTTATAACAGTTGCACAAAGATACAAATGATGTATTAAATACTTCTGTAATGGCGATTGTCTTATGCCCAGACTATACAATTTATTACTAGCAAATAGTACAATTTCAATGTGATATCCAATCATTACATGATGACAAATGATGTACACATGCTATATAAGCTAGATGCTGAGCGTCTTTGCATTGTGCATGATGTATATTTGTATAATGTTCTGTATAATGGTTTGTGACGTCTTTGAAATATGAAGAAAATCAATAAAAAACGTGAAATTAAAAATAATTCTTTTGATGATATTTAAGCTGATTGTAAAAAAAGTATGTTGTTAACACCAGACAAAGTTACAACTAAATCATATTGAAAATATACGTTCGTGTAGAACCAGCTAATTCTAGAGACAAGACAATGTTGATCAGCACACAACCTGGCCTAAATAATATGTAATAAAGAACTTATATTTGAATTATTTTCTCAATACGTTATATTTGTAGATAACTATATATATGCAATACGCGGGAATATCATTTGGAGGATAAACAGGTCTAGTAATGAAGCCAAACAGTTATTCACCATATCTTACAAAACTAATCAGGCTGCTCAGGGTCTGGCGGCAGCTGGGGGTCACCTATACTTCGCCTTGAACTATTGTGACCAAGGTGCTGCCTCACAAGAGTGTGACACGTAAGTACAGTACAGTAACAGATAACTTATATAGTAACTTGGTTAGTCTTCTCGTGGTATCAAATATCCTGATTATTTATATTTATTTATTGATTTGATTCGTTTGAGATGATGGCATGGTCTGAGCTGTCATTGTCCATGTAGATCCTGACCTACTTAACTGGGATCTTTTTTCATCGATTGGCATGCACGTTGATTTAATTCATTACCTAGCATAAGATGAATGCAGCAACTAGTTTTTATGCACTTCTTGTGTTTGTTTCTATTTCTCCTTGTTCACATATGTTTGGCACTATCCTTCATTATCATTATTATATTACTGTTCCTTTGTATATGTAGTTAATTTATATCAACCATGCATGTCAACCAATACTTTCAATTTGTTATTCCTTCATCAATTTATTCGTGAGTACAGTTTTCAATTGATACTATATTCAGTAATTGGTCTGATGTATAGTAAAAAAGAAGGAAATACTTGTCTATACAAAAGAGATTAAAATGGAACTCTGAGTCATTCAAAAACAACAACATAGTGTTGTCAGTTGTGCCTTCCAACGGCTAATGTCATCGGACGATAGTGGTGTGTATAGTTGATGGAACCACACAAGGACTTTTTTTAAATTGGACGTCCCTGGTTTTATCTTACTCAAAACCAGCTGATGTCTGTTAGAAAGGTCGTTCAGTGTAGTCTTTATTGATGTGACATATAATACAATAAACCATACTCATGGGTAGTTTCTCTCATTGCACCTCTTTCCTACTTGATTAATAAAATGGGCCAAAAGAAATCAAACATGGGTTTTATTAGACGATAGTTTCTTTCAGCATGTCCCTTTATCAGTTATACCTGATTGAAATGAGCGAAACGAAATCGACATAGGGATATATCCTCTATCGGGCATTACCTCACATTTTTTTCTATAAACAAAAAGCACAACAGAGTGGTAGCATTGTATATGATGTTTCAGCTAGAGGCAGATTCTACATTTCATGCACCTTTTTCAAATTAACATGGATCTATATTATCAAATATAGTTTCATTGAACAGATATGTTTATCGGTTGCTGAAAGACGGCTCACAGTATGAAGCCTTTAGCCCTTTAATTCGGACAGCCTACTGCTCCATGCTGAAGTTAGTGTACGTCACACCTTTTCAAAGAAACGGTATGTGAAAAAGATTTCAAAGTAGCATTCGATGAAGAACAGTTATATAGTATCTAGTCAAGACGTTTTGCTTATAACCTGCTATTTATAAACTGAAAGCATATTCACTTGCTGCTCTCCTTTTTTACGAAGTATAAACAAATACAATCCTTGATAATACTACCAAATACGTATAAGGATACATCTTAAGAAACGTAGCTAAAAATCAGGTGTATTTGGAAAGCGCGAATAAAAGCTTATCAAGTACTGCATTCATACATATTATTAAACAGAAGAAAATAATTGCATGAAATGTACTTAATGACATAAAATGTATATCATTATAGCGAATGGCAACAGACTAACAGTTGCTTGACGTATAAAGCATTTTATTGTAGCGAATGATAACAAGTCAAATACTTTATGACATATTATTATTATTTATTGCGTAATAAGAAGCCAGTTAATGAGTACAATATGACGTATGAAATATTTCAAAATGGCGAGTGATCACAAGCAATGTAATATAGAAACTAAAATTTCTCACAGTTTGAATTTGCATTTTTGATATAAAAAAAACGTCTGAAGTTTCACTAGGTCGGTCGTGTTGTTTACAAATATGCATCTGACCAGGCAAACTGCAGATACCATGTATACATAACTGTCACTGTTTTACTGTTCAGTATCTACCACTTCACCGTGCCAGGAAGATATTACGGGTGCCTGTATCCATATTGTCGACGACAATTACAGTGATGATTCTTCAGCTTCCAACAGTACGTTTGCCTTTTATTTCCACGTTTTTATGGTAATATCGGTATATTTCTGTGCACAATTCATTTTGGTAGTTTTGCTACTCATTAGGAATTTACTACGTAAAGGGACACAACTGCAAAATTCCGTCATCAAAGAGTATCGTTCACTATAAATTGAGTTCTGAAAGCAATATCCCACGTTGATTATCGTTTGTTACAGAAGAATGTGATTTACAGGATGTTAATATGGATGTTATCCTAGTTTGCCAATTACCCGAAACTAACAATAGTCTTGGACGACAAACCAACGTTTCCAATTCACTAGGGATCGAAACTGTTGATTAAACATTATTATAATGTTGGATTTATAACGAACTGTTTTTCTTTTGTAGATACGTTAGTGATTTGTCTCCTAGTAGTACTGGTGTTTGTGTGTTTGGTGTCCATAGGATTCTTCTTCTGTTGGAAAAAGTAAGTTTTCGAATTCCTAGCTACATGCAAATGTAGGAATATCAAATTAAGATGTTAATATGATAATTAACATACAGTAAATTAATCGTAACATAACAATTTTAATTATTACGAAGTGTGAACTACAGTGCTAACTATTTCGTTCCACATTACATGTACTACGGGCACTTAAACGATCACTTCTTAACATATTCTATTTATATGATTATATATATTTGTAGATATAAATGTAGTATGTGATCTTTGACAACCATCCAAATCATAAACATCAACCTACAATGCTATTGTTTACCTTGTCTAGGATGTCGAAGTTCCAGATGAGTGGAAACAGTGATGAAACCATCAACGAGACTTTACATAGTGGACACTATATGGAGCTGACAGAGGAGCAAAAGTTTTAGTGGTGTGGGCTGTTTATGGAGCTGACAGAGGATCAACAGTTTTAGTGGTGTGGGCTGTTTATGGAGCTGACAGGGGAGTAACAGTTGTGGTGGTGTTGGCTGTTTATGGAGCTGAAAGAGGGGCAAAAGTATTAGTGGTGTGGGCTGTTTATGGAGCTGACAGAGGAACAAAAGTATTAGTGGTGTCGACTGTGTATGGAGCTGACAGAGGAGCAACAGTTTTAGTGGTGTGGGCTGTTTATGGAGCTGACAGAGGAGCAAAAGTATAAGTGGTGTTGGCTGTTTATGGAGCTGAAAGAGGAGCAAAAGTATTAGTGGTGTGGGCTGTTTATGGAGCTGACATAGGAGCAACAGTTTTAGTGGTGTGGGCTGTTTATGGAGCTGAAAGAGGAGCAAAAGTATAAGTGGTGTGGGCTGTTTATGGAGTTGACAGAGGAACAAAAGTGTTATTGGTGTGGGATGTTTATGGAACTGACAGAGGAGCAAAAGTTGTAGTGTTGTGGGATGTTTATGGAGCTGACAGAGGAGCAAAAGTTTTAGTGGTGTGGGCTGTTTATGGAGCTGACATAGGAGCAACAGTTTTAGTGGTGTGGGCTGTTTCTGGAGCTGAAAGAGGAGCAAAAGTATAAGTGGTGTGGGCTGTTTATGGAGCTGACAGAGGAGTAACAGTTTTAGTGGTGTCGGCTGTTGATAGAGCTGACAGAGGAGCAACAGTTTTAGTGGTGTGGGCTGTTTATGGAGCTGACAGAGGAGCAAAAGTATTAGAGGAGTGGGCTGTTTATGGAGCTGACAGAGGAGCAAAAGTATCAGTGGTGTGGGCTGTTTATGGAGCTGACAGAGAAACAAAAGTATAATTGGTGTGGGCTGTTTATGAAGCTGACAGAGGAACAAAAGTATTAGTGTTGTGGGCTGTTTATAGAGCTGCCAGAGGAGCTAAAGTATCAGTGGTGTGGGCTGTATATGGAGCTGACAGAGGAGCAAAAGTGTTACTGGTGTGGGATGTTTATGGAACTGACAGAGGAGCAAAAGTTGTAGTGGTGTGGGCTGTTTATGGAGCTGACAGAGGAGCAACAGTTTTAGTGGTGTGGGATGTTTATGGACCTGACAGAGGAGCAACAGTTTTAGTGGTGTGGGATGTTTATGGACCTGACAGAGGAGCAACAGTTTTAGTGGTGTGGGATGTTTATGGACCTGACAGAGGAGCAACAGTTTTAGTGGTGTGGGATGTTTATGGACCTGACAGAGGAGCAACAGTTTTAGTGGTGTGGGATGTTTATGGACCTGACAGAGGAGCAACAGTTTTAGTGGTGTGGGATGTTTATGGAGCTGACAGGGGAGTAACAGTTGTGGTGGTGTTGGCTGTTTATGGAGCTGAAAGAGGAGCAAAAGTATTAGTGGTGGGGGCTGTTTATGGAGCTGACAGAGGAGCAAAAGTTGTAGTGTTGTGGGATGTTTATGGAGCTGACAGAGGAGCAACAGTTTCAGTGGTGTGGGATGTCTATGGAGCTGACAGAGGAGCAACAGTTTTAGGGGTGTGGGCTGTTTATGGAGCTGACAGAGGAACAAAAGTATTAGTGGTGTAGGCTGTTTATGAAGCTGACAGAGGAACAAAAGTATTAGTGGTGTCGGCTGTGTATGGAGCTGACAGAGGAGCAACAGTTTTAGGGGTGTGGGCTGTTTATGGAGCTGACAGAGGAGTAACAGTTTTAGTGGTGTCGGCTGTTGATAGAGCTGACAGAGGAGCAACAGTTTTAGTGGTGTGGGCTGGTTATGGAGCTGACAGAGGAGCAAAAGTATAATCAGTGTTGGCTGTTTATAGTATTAGAGGAGTGGGCTGTTTATGGAGCTGACAGAGGAGCAAAAGTTGTAGTGTTGTGGCATGTTTATGGAGCTGACAGAGGAGCAACAGTTTAGTGGTGTGGGCTGTTTATGGAGCTGACAGGGGAGCAAAAGTATAATCAGTGTTGGCTGTTTATGGAGCTGAAAGAGGAGCAAAAGTATTAGTGGTGTGGAATGTTTATGGAGCTGACAGAGGAACAAAAGTATTAGTGGTGTAGGCTGTTTATGAAGCTGACAGAGGAACAAAAGTATTAGTGGTGTAGGCTGTTTATGAAGCTGACAGAGGAACAAAAGTATTAGTGGTGTAGGCTGTTTATGAAGCTGACAGAGGAACAAAAGAATTAGTGTTGTGGGCTGTTTATAGAGCTGCCAGAGGAGCTAAAGTATCAGTGGTGTGGGCTGTATATGGAGCTGACAGAGGAGCAAAAGTGTTGCTGGTGTGGGATGTTTATGGAACTGACAGAGGAGCAAAAGTTGTAGTGGTGTGGGATGTTTATGGAGCTGACAGGGGAGTAACAGTTGTGATGGTGTTGGCTGTTTATGGAGCTGACAGAGGAGCAAAAGTATAATCAGTGTTGGCTGTTTATAGTATTAGAGGAGTGGGCTGTTTATGGAGCTGACAGAGGAGCAAAAGTTGTAGTGTTGTGGCATGTTTATGGAGCTGACAGAGGAGCAACAGTTTAAGCGGTGTGGGCTGTTTATGGAGCTGACAGGGGAGGAACAGTTGTGGTGGTGTTGGCTGTTTATGGAGCTGACAGAGGAGCAAAAGTATTAGTGGTGTCGGCTGTTTATGGAGCTGACAGAGGAGCAACAGTTTGTGTGGGCTGTATATGGAGCTGACAGAGGAGCAAAAGTGTTGCTGGTGTGGGATGTTTATGGAACTGACAGAGGAGCAAAAGTTGTAGTGTTGTGGCATGTTTATGGAGCTGACAGAGGAGCAACAGTTTTAGGGGTGTGGGCTGTTTATGGAGCTGACAGAGGAGCAAAAGTATAATCAGTGTTGGCTGTTTATGGAGCTGAAAGAGGAGCAAAAGTATTAGTGGTGTGGGCTGTTTATGGAGCTGACATAGGAGCAACAATTTTAGTGGTGTGGGCTGTTTATGGAGCTGACAGAGGAGCAAAAGTATTAGTGGTGTGGGCTGTTTATGGAGCTGACAGAGGAGCAAAAGTATTAGTGGTGTGGGCTGTTTATGGAGCTGACAGAGGAGCAAAAGTATTAGTGGTGTGGGCTGTTTATGGAGCTGACAGAGGAGCAAAAGTATTAGTGGTGTGGGCTGTTTATGGAGCTGACAGAGGAGCAAAAGTATTAGTGGTGTGGGCTGTTTATGGAGCTGACAGAGGAGCAAAAGTATTAGTGGTGTGGGCTGTTTATGGAGCTGACAGAGGAGCAAAAGTATTAGTGGTGTGGGCTGTTTATGGAGCTGACAGAGGAACAAAAGTATTAGTGGTGTGGACTGTTTATGGAGCTGACAGAGGAGCAAAAGTATTAGTGGTGTGGGCTGTTTATGGAGCTGACAGAGGAGCAAAAGTATTAGTGGTGTGGGCTGTTTATGGAGCTGACAGAGGAGCAACAGTTTTAGTGGTGTGGGCTGTTTATGGAGCTGACAGGGGAGTAACAGTTGTGGTGGTGTTGGCTGTTTATGGAGCTGACAGAGGAGCAAAAGTATTAGTGGTGTGGGCTGTTTATGGAGCTGACAGAGGAGCAAAAGTATTAGTGGTGTGGGCTGTTTATGGAGCTGACAGAGGAGCAAAAGTATTAGTGGTGTGGGCTGTTTATGGAGCTGACAGAGGAGCAAAAGTATTAGTGGTGTGGGCTGTTTATGGAGCTGACAGAGGAGCAAAAGTATTAGTGGTGTGGGCTGTTTATGGAGCTGACAGAGGAGCAAAAGTATTAGTGGTGTGGGCTGTTTATGGAGCTGACAGAGGAGCAAAAGTATTAGTGGTGTGGGCTGTTTATGGAGCTGACAGAGGAGCAAAAGTATTAGTGGTGTGGGCTGTTTATGGAGCTGACAGAGGAGCAAAAGTATTAGTGGTGTGGGCTGTTTATGGAGCTGACAGAGGAGCAACAGTTTTAGTGGTGTGGGCTGTTTATGGAGCTGACAGGGGAGTAACAGTTGTGGTGGTGTTGGCTGTTTATGGAGCTGACAGAGGAGCAAAAGTATTAGTGGTGTGGGCTGTTTATGGAGCTGACAGAGGAGCAAAAGTATTAGTGGTGTGGGCTGTTTATGGAGCTGACAGAGGAGCAAAAGTATTAGTGGTGTGGGCTGTTTATGGAGCTGACAGAGGAGCAAAAGTATTAGTGGTGTGGGCTGTTTATGGAGCTGACAGAGGAGCAAAAGTATTAGTGGTGTGGGCTGTTTATGGAGCTGACAGAGGAGCAAAAGTATTAGTGGTGTGGGCTGTTTATGGAGCTGACAGAGGAGCAAAAGTATTAGTGGTGTGGGCTGTTTATGGAGCTGACAGAGGAGCAAAAGTATTAGTGGTGTGGGCTGTTTATGGAGCTGACAGAGGAGCAAAAGTATTAGTGGTGTGGGCTGTTTATGGAGCTGACAGAGGAGCAAAAGTATTAGTGGTGTGGGCTGTTTATGGAGCTGACAGAGGAGCAAAAGTATTAGTGGTGTGGGCTGTTTATGGAGCTGACAGAGGAGCAAAAGTATTAGTGGTGTGGGCTGTTTATGGAGCTGACAGAGGAGCAAAAGTATTAGTGGTGTGGGCTGTTTATGGAGCTGACAGAGGAGCAAAAGTATTAGTGGTGTGGGCTGTTTATGGAGCTGACAGAGGAGCAAAAGTATTAGTGGTGTGGGCTGTTTATGGAGCTGACAGAGGAGCAAAAGTATTAGTGGTGTGGGCTGTTTATGGAGCTGACAGAGGAGCAAAAGTATTAGTGGTGTGGGCTGTTTATGGAGCTGACAGAGGAGCAAAAGTATTAGTGGTGTGGGCTGTTTATGGAGCTGACAGAGGAGCAACAGTTTTAGTGGTGTGGGCTGTTTATGGAGCTGACAGGGGAGTAACAGTTGTGGTGGTGTTGGCTGTTTATGGAGCTGAAAGAGGAGCAAAAGTATTAGTGGTGTGGGCTGTTTATGGAGCTGACAGAGGAGCAAAAGTATTAGTGGTGTGGGCTGTTTATGGAGCTGACAGAGGAGCAAAAGTATTAGTGGTGTGGGCTGTTTATGGAGCTGACAGAGGAGCAAAAGTATTAGTGGTGTGGGCTGTTTATGGAGCTGACAGAGGAGCAACAGTTTTAGTGGTGTGGGCTGTTTATGGAGCTGACAGGGGAGTAACAGTTGTGGTGGTGTTGGCTGTTTATGGAGCTGAAAGAGGAGCAAAAGTATTAGTGGTGTGGGCTGTTTATGGAGCTGACAGAGGAGCAAAAGTATTAGTGGTGTGGGCTGTTTATGGAGCTGACAGAGGAGCAAAAGTATTAGTG